AATTAGGGAGTGTTGGTCTAAACACGGTAGCTGGAGAGCTGAGTGAAATCAGGAGAGTGAAGTATCAATCGATTTACAGGATTGGATCGATTGAGTTCATCGGTGTACAAGTGTAAAACAATCAAAAGCTTCGAGCCTAGTGCAACGTCGGAAGTCACAGCTGTGTGTTCTTTCGACCGTGGAATAGTCAGAGTTGGGGATCATTTTTACCCAGCTCTGGAAACCACGTAAAAAGTGACTGTGTCTACTCCCTGCTTAGTGTGTTCATTTTGTTTCTCTGTTTTTGTTACGTTTACTGAGTTTGCAGAAAACAGGGGAAGTGTTCCTCTGAAACAGAACAGAGAAGTAAGGACGGGAAGGTTGAAACGCAGCGAAGCAGAAGAAAAATTAGTAGTCTTCTGCGTAGGATAACTGGGCCAGAACCAAAAGGCTTTGGTGCTCACAGATCAGGCCCAGTAAACATTAAAGAGTAACATTAGAATTCATTAAATCTATTTTTGTTTGAGTATTTCTAATTCAGCATTCGTGTAAGGTTCTCTTCGCTCTTCACTGATCTGTGCCCAAAAGGAGAGTTAGGGTTTCAGGTGGAAGAGGAGATAGAATCGCTCAAATTGCCCTGGCATCTCGCGCTAGACGCTAGTAACACGTGGTATCAGAGCTCGGTCACTGACTGAGTAGGCATAACAACCTAGGTGAGATCCAGAATGGCGTTAGGCTCTACCAGTGCTGCTCCACTCTACCTTGCTGATGGCTTTTCACAGAATCGCCCACCGCGGTTTGAAGGTGTGAACTATGGGTACTGGAAGAATCGGATGGAGCTGTTTGTTGGATCAACTGATCCAAAACTATGGGCGAGGGTAATCAAAGGGCCACATGAACTCAAGGCTGATCAAGAGAAATGGACTGAAGAAGATTATGAGAAGTTTCAACAAAACTGCAAGGCCACGAATCTAATGTACTGCGCCTTAGGACCAGAAGAGTACCACAAGGTGGCTGGGTGCAAGACAGCTAAGGAAATATGGGATAAGCTACAAGTAACATATGAAGGTACATCTCAAGTTAAAACTTCTCGGATAAACTCTTTGAAGCATCAATTTGAACTGTTCAAGATGGAGGATAGCGAGTCCATTAGACAAATGTATGAGAGGTTTACGAATATAGTAAACAGCCTAGAGAATCTATGAAAGTCTTATGAGAGTGGTGATCTGATTAGAAAGATATTGTGGAGCTTACCAGAGAAATGGATACCTAAAGTAACTGCAATCGAGGAAGCCAAGGACTTGGAGCATCTTGCAGTAGATGAGCTTATAGGGTCAGTAGCCACTCACAAAGAGAAGCTAAACAAATCAGCCCAAGAGAAGGACATCACTGACAAGGGAAAGCGAGGGATTGCTTTCAAAGTTACAAGTCAGATGGATGAGTCCGAAGATATTGAAGACATGGAAGATGAAGAGATCGCTCTCTTAAGCAAACAGATCAGCAGACTCATCGGAATTAGAAAGGAGAAGAAATCTGGAGGATCTAAATTCAGAGAGTTTGAGAGAAATGAAGCAGGATCAAAACCTGGACAAGCAAGAACCACAATACGAGGGCGAAATGAAGGGTTGCAAAATTATAAAGGAGTAAACTCAACTGGATGTTTTAAGTGTGGGAGATCTGGTCACATTAAAGCAGAATGTCCACAATTGAAGAAAGAAAAAGAATACGCTGCTACTTGGAGTGGGAGTGAAGATGAAGGAGAAGAAGAGGAGGAAGTAACAGTGCACAGGTCATTCATGGCAATTGCAGAAGATAAGGCAGAAGAAGATAAGACTTCCAGATGCTATCATTCACAGAGGTGTCTTCAAGTGAGCATGGACACCTCTAAGTACTGGACAGTGGGTGCTCACACCACATGACAGGTAACAATTCCTTATTTTCAAATCTTGAATTAGGAAGCTTTGGAAAAGTATTCTTTGGGGACAATAATACTGCTGAAATCATTGGAAAAGGTCAAGTGGGGATTTGTCCTTCAATAAAAAATGTAATGCTGGTCAGTAGCTTAAAACACAATCTGATGTCAATTAGTCAGATGTGTGGAAAGGATAACAGAGTGATCTTTGAACCTAACTGTTGCTATGTTGAGAACATTAAATCAAAACAATTTTTTTTCACTGGGAAAAGAAATGGTAAAATATACACTATTGATCTAAATGACAAAGAAAGCTTCAATGAAACCTGTTTAGTCAGTTTTAGCTGAAATCCTCAAGAAGACTGGCATAGACGTTTAGGACATGTAAATGTTAGCACTCTTTCCAAACTAGCTCGTTTGGGATTGGTCAAGGGTCTACCTAAGATGAATGAGAAACCTGAATTCTTCTGTGATGCTTGTGCTAAGGGAAAACAAACCAGAACTAGCTTTAAAAGCAAATTAGTGATTTCTACTTCAAGACCATTAGATTTGTTACATCTTGATTTATTTGGACCCTCTAATGTAGTAAGTCATGGGGGGGAATTCTCCTCTGATCTCTTTGAAATTTTCTGTAGTGAACTTGGAATCTTTCACAATTTCTTAGCTCCTAGAACTCCACAGCAAAATGGGGTTGTAGAAAGAAAAAATAGGACTCTAATTGACATTGCTCGCACCATGCTTCATGATTATGGGTTACCAAAATACTTCTGGGCAGAAGCTATAAATACAGCATGCTATGTTGTCAACAGAGCCTTAATCAGGTCTGGCTTGAACAAAACCCCTTATGAAATTTGGAAAGGTAGGAAACCAAACCTAGGCTATTTTCGTACCTTTGGGTGTAAGTGCTTTGCATTGAATACTAAAGACAATCTTGGAAAGTTTGATGCAAAATCTGATGAAGCTGTATTTTTGGGATATTCAAACTCAAGCAAGGCTTATAGGATTTTTAATAAACGGACCCTCAAAGTTGAGGAGTCCATTAATGTGGTATTTGATGAAGCTACTTTTGAGAATACAGAGAGTTTGGATGATGATGATTTCGGACTTGGAAGGCCTTCTCCACTAACCTTAGTCAACAACTCGAAAGTTCAAGCTCAAGAGAAGAACTTAATTGATACAAATCAAGTGGACATTGAGCAGGAATCTAATAAAGACAAAGATAATACATTCAATGGAGCAGGAGCAAGCACAACTGTTGCTGAGGTGCATCCTCCTGCCTACATCACCAAACGACATCCTCCTACTCAAATAATTGGCTCCATAGACAAAGGTATGCTTATTAGATCCAAAACCTCACCTTCGTATACTGCTTTTGTATCTATGATTGAGCCTAAGTCTGTAAAAGAGGCCTTGTCTGATGAATTTTGGACTGCTGCAATGTTTGAGGAAATGCATCAGTTTGAGAGAGCAAAAGTTTGGGAACTTGTTCCAAAACCCGAAAATAGAATAATTATAGGGACAAAATGGATCTATAAAAATAAAACTGATGAAATTGGTGAAATAACTAGAAACAGGGCTAGATTAGTAGCACAAGGTTACAATCAGGAGGAGGGCATTGATTTTGATGAAACCTTTGCTCCTGTAGCTCGTCTTGAAGCTGTCAGGATGTTGTGTGCTTTTGCTAGTGCATCTAGGATTAAACTCTATCAAATGGACGTCAAAAGTGCATTTCTTAATGGAGAATTAAAAGAGGAAGTGTATATTGCACAGCCTCTTGGATTTGAAGATCAAAAATATCCTAATCATGTGTATAAACTAAAGAAAGCTCTGTATGGGTTGAAACAAGCTCCCAGAGCTTGGTATGACAAACTGAGCTCCATTCTACTGGAAAATGGTTTTCAGAGAGGGTCTGTTGATAAAACTCTTTTCACTAAACACAAAGCAGGTCAGTTACTGTTAGTCCAAGTATATGTCGATGACTTAATATTTGGGGGAACAAGTGAGAAAATGTGTAAAGAGTTTGAAGAACTTATGAAGACTAATTTTGAAATGAGTCTAATGGGGGAGCTGAATTACTTTCTGGGCTTACAGATAAAACAGACCTCAAAAGGGATTTTTATTTGTCAATCCAAATACATTCAAAACATGATCAAACGTTTTGATTTTGGAAATATGAAAACTGCTATTACTCCTATGGCCTCTTCACTTAAGATTGACAAAGATGAATCTGGAAATTCTGTAAATGAGAAAATGTATAGGGGATTGATTGGATCTCTTCTGTATGTGACTGCTAGTCGGCCTGACATTCTATTTAGTGTGTGTGTATGTGCCCGGTTTCAAAGTGCACCAAAAGAAAGTCATATGTCTGCTGTTAAGAGAATTTTTCGATATCTGGCTGGCACAATAGACTTTGGACTGTGGTATTCATGTGATTCGAGTCTAGAATTGGTAGGATACTCTGATTCAGACTATGCCGGGTGCATAGTTGATCGGAAGAGCACGTCTGGAACCTGTCACTTTATGGGAACTTCTCTTGTGGCATGGTTCAGTAAAAAGCAGAATTCTGTTGCTTTGTCAACTGCAGAGGCAGAATATATTGCAGCAGGGTGCTGCTGCACACAGTTACTGTGGATGAAATTTCAACTTCTTGATTTTGGTCTTGAAGTTGGTTCTCTACCAATACTATGTGATAATACGAGTGCAATCAACATGTCCAAGAACCCTGTCCAACACTCTAAAACAAAGCATATAGAGATTAGGTTTCATTTCATTAGGGATCTTGTTCAAGAGAATGTAATTCACTTAGAATTTGTCCCTTCGAATTATCAATGGGCTGATATTTTCACAAAGCCTCTGGGCTCTGATCCTTTCATTCGGATTCGACGAGAGCTAGGGCTATTCAATTTGAAGGACATAGAGGAATTGTCTGCTCAGTCTTGATTGCCTTTTATGTCTCAATCAGGAGTTACCTTTTTGCTAATCAATCTATTTGATTTGCGAAATATCTAAACTTTAGGGCAAAGGCTCTGTTTACCTTCTATCGAATTTCCCTTTCCTTAAGTAAAATCCACCTCTTCTATAAATCGCTTAGGGTCTAGAGTCGTCTGTCATCACCCACATATACCTTCACTTCTTCTACATCGATAATGGCTGTTCCTAATCAGCATGCGACCTCCTTGCGATTGGCTCAAGGTGCCATTTTTAATGGTAAAGGCTTTGAGGATGCAGCTGGCTATGCCAGATATTTACATCAGTTTCAAGACCGTCCTTTACATCCCTCCATTACTCTTGATCCATCAAAGTTCAACAGGTATGGGATGGACATCCCTCGCCTGATCAATACCTTAGGCTGGGGTGACATACTACCTAATCGAAACTATGGGTTTCGACCTGAGGTTGTGCGCATGTTCTATGCGAATATGAAGACCTGCCTTCACATCTCTCCTCCCTGTTTCACTACAATAGTGTACAACTATCTGATCACTCTCAACGTGGAGTTGTTGTCCCTACTACTGGGAATACCTATTTCTGGAGCTGAAGTCATGAATGAGCTGGATTTCCACTCTGTGGAGTTCAACGAAGGAGATGCCCTGCGCCTGTATACTCGTGATATAGGTCGGTATTATCCTTCGGAGTTTCACTCTGGGAGACTTCGTGATGATCTCAAGGTTCTGCATTTTTACACCACTCGACTATTCCTACCTCGCTCCTTTGGCCTCAATACCATTTATCCAACTGATTTATGGATTCTAGCTAGTGCCAAGGAGAATCGGGTTATAAGCTATCCTCACTTGATGTTCGACCATATGTTGAATTATCATGCTGATAACTTCGAAGCTGAGCTTCCTTTTGCCCCTCAGATCACTCAGATCTTGTTAGCACTGGGGATTGACTTAAGGTTCAAAGTTGCCCGAGTGGACATGTTGAGTTCTCTTCGTGCTCAGTTTATCCTGCGCAAAGTCGATGCTTCTGTTGGTCGTCGAGGTCCTGTGGTCGTCAATGCTCCAGGGGGAGACACAGCTGCCCATGAATTTCCTGAGGATGGTCTCAGCCTGGCTGAGCTAGATGGGGATGAAGCTGTAAGAGAACCAGAATTACCTATAAGAGATAATGGCAAGCGACCTATGGTGGATCCTCTAGAGGAAGTTCAGGCTATGTTCAGACAGGAAGAGGCAAGCAGCAGCAGGAACCTGATAATGGAGGACGACGATGATATTTCTGATTATGTGCCGTCACCCAAATTTGCCTACTAGAGGAATATTGATCTTAGGGGGAGTACCTATGTTTGCTTGTTAAGGGATTAATAAGTGTAGGGGGAGTCTGGTCGAAATAAGTTGTGGTTTAGAGTCAGTATGTGAGAAGTTGTGGTTTAGAGTCAGTATGTGAGTCAATAAAGCTCTGTCGGAGCGTGTGTCTTTGTGCCTTAGGAAGGGTATGTGTTTTTAATAATATAAGTGAGATCTGAAAACAGATGTATTGTTCAATACTATTGCAAAGGGATATATCTGGTTTATCTTATCTAGAGCAGTCTGCACGTAACCGTGTGTTATATGTGTGCAGAAATTTCTTAGGCAGCTGATGGGATCATTGACTGACTTAGGGGGAGAATGTTGGAGGAAAGTCAGTCATGAATCAGAAGAACAAAGGAAAGAAATCAGGATCCAAATGAGTCTGCATTAAAAGGAAACATAGAGCAAGGAAAGAAGATATTCTGGGAGCGGAGCAATTCATTGAGAGAACACTTACAGGAAAGAATTCAAAGAAGAGACTTACCATCCGGAGGAGCAATTCATTGAGAGAACACTTACAGGAAAGAATTCAAAGAAGAGACTTACCATCCGTGAGCTGCAACGGCTAGTGCCTGAAGAGTATAAGAAGAAACTCTCTGGATCAAACGAGGACAACTTTTCTGGGATCAATCTTGCAAGAAGAGCTAAAGAGTATAGCCAGTGAGTTTGATTAGAAAAGAGAGACTGATTCAATCTCAGGAGGGAGATTGAATTAGGGAGTGTTGGTCTAAACACGGTAGCTGGAGAGCTGAGTGAAATCAGGAGAGTGAAGTATCAATCGATTTACAGGATTGGATAGATTGAGTTCATCGGTGTACAAGTGTAAAACAATCAAAAGCTTCGAGCCTAGTGCAACGTCGGAAGTCACAGCTGTGTGATCTTTCGACCGTGGAATAGTCAAAGTTGGGGATCATTTTTACCCAGCTCTGGAAACCACGTAAAAAGTGACTGTGTCTACTCCATGCTTAGTGTGTTCATTTTGTTTCTCTGTTTTTGTTACGTTTACTGAGTTTGCAGAAAACAGGGGAAGTGTTCCTCTGAAACAGAACAGAGAAGTAAGGACGAGAAGGTTGAAACGCAGCGAAGCAGAAGAAAAATTAGTAGTCTTCTGCTTAGGATAACTAGGCCAGAACCAAAAGGCTTTGGTGCTCACAGATCAGGCCCAGTAAACATTAAAGAGTAACATTAGAATTCATTAAATCTATTTTTGTTTGAGTATTTCTAATTCAGCATTCGTGTAAGGTTCTCTTCGCTCTTCACTGATCTGTGCCCAAAAGGAGAGTTAGGGTTTCAGGTGGAAGAGGAGATAGAATCGCTCAAATTGCCCTGGCATCTCGCGCTCGACGCCAGTAACAAATTCGAGTCGGGATAAAGCGCAGCATCTTCATGAAACTCGTAAATGTCGGCGACTTTGAAAGTGCTGGAAATGTTCTTTGTAGGCGGCAAGTTGATGAAGCACCGTAAAAGGTTCATATTTGCGAGGTTGGAGCTTAGAATAGGAACCAACAGGGAACCTCTCTTTCCTTAGAAACACCATGACCTTATTCCCCGCGGCAAATACCTTGACACGACGATGAGCGTCAGCAGCAACCTTATTCTTTTCGTCGGTGGCTACAAGCTTGGCTTTAATCCAAAGCTTGGTATGACAAGTTGAGCAGTTTTTTAATCCAACAGGGGTTTAGAAGAGGTTATGTGGATAAAACATTGTTTATCAAAACTGATCACAGTGACATTCTGCTAGTTCAAGTTTATGTTGATGACATAATCTTTGGATCAACTAGTCATAAACTGTGTCAGGAATTTCAGTCTTGCATGAAGAACACTTTTGAAATGAGTCTCATGGGTGCACTCACTTATTTTCTTGGTCTTCAAGTTAAGCAAACCATCTCTGGAACTTTTATCAGCCAAACAAAATATTTAAACTCCATGATTGCCAAATTTGATCTTGGTAATCTCAAGTCTGCCTCTACTCCAATGGCCTCTACTCTAAAATTAGACAAGGATGAATCGGGAAAGCCAGTATGTGAGAAAAAATATAGAGGAATGATTGGATCCCTTCTCTATCTTACTGCTAGCAGACCTGACATTCAGTATAGCGTGTGTGCATGTGCTCGTTTTAAAAACAATCCGAAAGAAACCCATTTTCTGCCGTAAAACAGATATTTCGATACCTTGTGGGCATACCTCAGCTTGGTCTTTGGTATTCTCGTGAGTCCTCTGTAGAGCTCCTAGGTTTCAATGATTCAGAATATGCTGGCTGTGTGGTTGATAGAAAGAGTGCTACAGGTGCGTGTCAATTTCTAGGCACATCCCTTGTTTCTTGGTTCAACAAGAAACAATCTTCAGTAGCTCTCTCCACGGCAGAGGCTGAATATGTCGCAGCAGGACTCGGCTGTACACAGATGCTGTGGCTCAAATATCAACTCAAGGATTTTGGAATAGATCAAAAATCTTTAATTGTTCACTGTGATAACACTAGTGCTATTAACATGGCCAAAAATCCCGTACAACACTCCCAAACCAAACATATTGAAATTAGGTATCACTTTATTAGGGAGCTAGTCGAAGATGGAATTATTAAGCTAGAATTCGTTCCTTCTTCAAACCAATGGAAAGACATCTTCACTAAACCCTTAGCCTCTGAACCGTTTTTACATATTCGTCGTGAGCTTGGGATGTTCTCTGGGTTTGAAATTGAGGAAATCTTAAACTCTGGTTCTTAACTGTTTACCTTAAATCTTTTAGACCTTCTAATTAGTAAATATTCCTCATAAAGTTCAAAATCCTTTCACCTTCATTAAATAAGTCTCTCAAAACTTTAGGATCTCGGTTTAGGTGATTCATCATGATCTCTAACCTTCCATGTTCTGATTCTATTGGTAACCTTCAAGGACTTTTCCATCTCTTCAACCTCTAATCTATATATACTGTCTACATTATCCTCACCCTGACTTTAATAAGTTAGATGCCATCATAAAGTACACCTGAGACACCGGTCGATACTATCCCACCGTCCTTTCTGTGGGTCGTCTTCCTGACGATCTCAAGGTGCTACCATTCGCACCGCAAATCACTCAAATTATGCATGGTCTCGGCCTCGATCTTCGTCTGAAAGTCTCCCGGGTGGATCTGATTGATAACCTGCGTGCTCAGTTCGTCTGCCGCAAGTTAGACACTATGGTTGGTCGTCGTCTGCTAAATGTAAGGATCTTATCAACGTCCATGAATGAGAAATCATAATCGAACTGCCGAATCGGAAAAATTGGGTGCTATCGTATAGCTTTGTACCGGGTCAATGTCCCAGGGGGAGTGACTGCAGACAAAGTAGTTCCTTCTGAAGATGGGCTTGGGCTCAGCCTTACTGATCTCGTAGATGTATCTGATGACATACCTTCGCCAAAGTATCCATTCTGATGGATGTCGGTCTCTGAGGCTCAAGATAGGGTGCATAACCATGGGTTATGCATCCATCAATAACCAAATCTGGACCCTTTATTTAGAAAATTCAGATCTAAGGATGGAAAATTAAGGACCATTTTTATGTTTCCTAGCTTTCTTAATCGGCTCATATCTTTTTCGTTTTAACTCGGATTTTAATTTTTTTTTTGCGCAGATGGAACGAGTTCATCGTGCTCTACCAAATGAGAACAATTTTCAATATTTTTTTAGAACAAAAAATTCTGGCCTCTCGGTACCAACTGCATACCATATGGTATCTTCTTCGTTTTTAATTCGTTTTTGAAAAAGTTTGCACAGAAGGGACGAGTACATCATGATATATTGGATCTACAAATTTCTGGGTGAACAAATTACAGGACCAAAAAATATCACACAATACCATACAATACCACCCTGGTACGGGGTGGTATTGTATGGTATCTTCTTCGTTTTTAATTCGTTTTTGAAAACGTTTGCACAGAAGGGACGAGTTCATCATGATATATTGGATCTACAAATTTCTGGATGAACAAATTACAGGACCAAAAAATACCACACAATACCATACAATACCACCCTGGTACGGGGTGGTATTGTGTGGTATACAATGTTAAAACTCGTAAATGACAATTAATATACTTCTACTATCATGTATTCAACCATCCTACAGTCTTGGTTTGTTCATACCACCATGGTACGTTTTTCAAACCATAGGTATGCTTTTATTTCAATACCAGTCAATACCATATGGTATAGACTGGTAAAAAATGGCTCAATTTTTTTTGTTCAAAAATATATTAAAGTGGATATCATTTTGAAGAGCACAATTAATCTGATCTAACTGTGCAAAAAAAAAAAAATTTCGACTTAAAATGAGTGAGAAATCGTCCGTCAAAGATTAAAGAGAGGAAAATTAAAGGCTTTCCAGGAGAGAGAGGATGCTGATGTCATGCTGATGTGGGCTGGTTACTCATGGTTACTAACCATAAAGTTACTGACCTGATCCGTTCCCGGTCTCTGGGGCTCAAGATAGGTTATGCACCCATGGATTATGCACCCATCAATAACCAAATCTGGACCCTTCATTTAGAAAATCCAGATCTAAGGATGGAGAATTAAAGACCATTTTTATTTTCCCTAATTTTCTTAATTGACTCATATCTTTTTCGTTTTAACTTGGATTTTAATTTTTTTTGCACAGATGGAACGAGTTCATCGTGCTCTACAAAATGAGATCAATTTTCAATATTTTTTGAGAAAAAAATTATGGCCTCTCGGTACCATCAGCATACCATATGATATTTTCTTCGTTTTTAATTCGTTTTTGAAAACGTTTGCACAACAGGGACGAGTTCATCATGATCTATTGGATCTACAAATTTCTGGGTGAACAAATTACAAGACCAAAAAATACCACACAATACCATACAATACCACCCTGGTACGGGGTGGTATCTTATGGCATACAATGTTAAAAATCGTAAATGACAATTAATATACTCTACTATCATGTATTCGACCATCCTACAGTTTTGGTTTGTGTCATACCACCATGGTACGCTTTTCAAATCATAGGTATGCTCTTATTTCAAACCATAGGTAAAAAATGGCTCTATTTGTTTTGTTCGAAAAATATATCAAAGTGTATATCATTTTGAAGAACACAATCAATCTGATCTAATTGTGCAAAAAAAATTAAATTTCGACTTAAAACGAGTGAGAAATCGTCCGTCAAAGATTTAGGAGGGGAAATTTAAGAGCACTTCTATTATGCTATAAAGTATTGGTACTTTAATGTACAACTTAAAGTTGTACCATAACGTTAAATGTATAAGTTCAGGTTGTACCATAAAGGAATTTGTGCTCTTATGTTATGGTACAACTTTATAACTTAAACTTGTACCATCAAATGAAAGTACAAGTTTAAGTTGTACCATAAAACAATTTGACAAAAGAGTATAGGTACAATCTGAAGTTGTACCATAACGTTAAAGGTACAACTTCAAGTTATACCATAAAAGAAAAAACCTATAGCACCAATACTATATAGCATTGTAAAATTCCTCGAAATTTAATGGCTTTCCATGAGAGAGGGGATGCTGACGTCATGCTTATGTGGGCGGGTTACTCATAGTTATCCACCATATCCATTCCCGGTCTCTGGGGGAGTCCGTGTATCCATTCTGATGGATGTTGGTCGTAGGGGGAGTTAAACTAGGGTCAAGTCTAAGAAAAGTCAGTAGATGTTTCTTGTTTTGAGGTCAATAAATCGAACCCATTGAGTGTCATTGTCATGTCCTGCCATGCTATTTGATTTAATTAATAAAACAGTGCATCTTTAGTTTGTGTTCATTAAATCACTGGCAATTCTCAGTAACCTGTATAAGAACAGTCTACACCTAACTGTGTGTGGCGTATGTGTATAGGAACTACTTGTGCAGGGAAGGGCTATTGACAGGCTTAGGGGGAGATTGTAGAAAGAAAGCCTGCCAATGATCGATGATGAAGGCGTGGGAAGAAAGGCATTACTGCTCAAAACAAGGAAAGACAAATCAAAGATGCAAGAGTGTCAAAATTCCAGCAGTGAAGATCACAAGGCGTATCAAAACCAGGAGCAAGAAGGGAAACTCAAGAAAGGAAAATTAAAGAGAACTTACCACTACTGGAATTCAGCAGAGAAATTAGCAAGTCAAATTGCAACGGCTAGCTAAGAGATGATCAGTATATAAACGAGCTGAATGATAGATGGAACTCACCCTTTTCGAGCAATTGATTCTGCACTGTAAGAGCAACAAGATAGTTGAGTGTAGAGTTAATAGAAAAGAGAGTGGGAGCAATCGGGGAGATAGCTCAGGTTGATCGACGAGTTGATCTGGGTATACAAGTTCATCAAGGGGGAGTTGATCGTTGATACATTCTGATTAGTCTACGAAGGCTGATTAGGAATAGGGATGACAAAAATATCCGTAACCGTGGATATCCGTCCGAATTTGGTGTAATCGGGTAGGGTACGAACCCGAAGGATATTTAGGGCAATTCCACCACATCCCATGTTTGATTTTGTAGTAGGGCTTTGAGTTCATGCTGCATTGATGCATTCCACTCAGCAGATTTGGATGCTTCTTTGTATGTTGTAGGCTCAACAAAAGAAGAGATGTTGATGACAAATTTTTTGTAGAATGGGGTGAGAGAATCGTAGGAAATCATAGAGGAAAGGCCATACCTTAAGTCAGGGATCCTTTGCTGAAGAGAGTGATCTGGATCAGTAGATTGACAGGCTAGATAGCAGTGGTAATCTTTGGTTAAGTGGGCTGGTGGTTTTGAGGATCTATCTGAACGTCTGGGAAGTTGAGGATCAGGGTTGGGAATGGGTATAGGAGAAAGTGAGGAATCTGGGGAGGATGGAGGAGTAGAGGAAGAAGAAGAAGGCGAGCTAGGTGGGGTACTGTGAGAAGTGGAAGGGGATGTAGGAGTAGGAGAGTTGGTAGATGGGGATAAAATGGGTGATGGAATAGTTTGGTGAGTGATAGGAGGTTCATCAATGATGGAAAGAACAGGATCAGGTAAGGGAAAAATGATATCAGAATCAGAAGATGTATTTGACTGAGGGGTAGTGGATTTGAATGGGAAATGGGATTCATAAAAAATTACATCCCTTGAAACAAAAACATCATGGGAGTCCAGATCATAGATCTTATAACCTTTAATACCAGCTTTGTAACCCAAGAAGACTCCTTTTCTAGCTCTAGGCTGGAATTTAGTTCTGTTATTAGCTAGGGAGGAGGCATAGCATAAGCAACCATAGACTCTTAAGTCAGTGAGGTCAGGAGGAGAGTTATGAAGCTTTTCATGAGGTGTTTGGTTGTGGAGGACAGAAGAGGGGACACGATTGATAAGGTAAACTGCATGTTTGATGCAGTCACTCCAGAAACCAGGTGGCAGGTCAGCCTGGAATTTGAGGGCTCGAGCAACAACAAGGATATGCTGGTGTTTGTGTTCTACCTTGCTGTTCTGTTGAGGGGTCTCAACACAGGACATTTCATGAATGATGCCCTGAGAATCATAGTAATCATTCATTTCAAATTCTTTTCCTTGATCACTGCGGATTCTTTTAATTTGAGTTTGAAACTGCCGTTGCATTTGATTGCAAAAGGCTATTAACTTAGGTCTAGCCTCAGATTTGAGTTGGAGAAGAATAACCCAAGTCATTCTTGAAAAATCATCAACAATGGTTAGGAAGTATTTGAATGAATCATAGGAAGGAACAGGGTTGGGACCCCAAATATCAACATGAAGTAGTTCAAAAGCATGTGTGGTTACAGATTGACTTAATGGAAAAGGAAGTCTCCTTTGCTTTGCAAAGTGACAAACATCACAGGGCAAACCCCTTTGAGTCTCAATGGAGGTACAAAATTGCTTTGCAAAGTGACAAACATCACAGGGAAAACCCCTTTGAGTCTCAATGGAGGTACAAAATTGATGAAGATAAGGGATTTTGGAATGGGACAGGTGTCCTAATCTAAAATGCCACAAATCAAAAGTGTTGGAGCTTGCAACTGTGAAGATCTTAGGATTACTAGTGTCCTCTAGGTAGTAAAGTCCATTTGTCAATCTAGCAGAACCAGTCACTCTCTTCTGCTCCAGATCTTGTATGACACAAAGGTTGGAGTGGAATGTTAAACTTAAAGAGTTGTGAGCAGTGAGCTTGTTTATTGAGACTAAATTAAAACTGAAACTAGTTACAAAGAGTGCATCCTGTAGAATTAGCTCAGTAGTGCAATGAACTGTGCCTTTGTAAGTGGCTGGGATTTGTTGGCCAGTAGGAAGGGTAATAAAGATCCCAGAAACAGGAATAGGATTGACTAAGTAGTCAAGGCATGAAACTATATGATCAGAAGCACCTGTGTCAAGTATCCAGGTGAAACTATGGTTGGGATTAATTTGGTTGGATGGAGCAGATAAAAAACATGTACCTG